ACCGCCTGCTAATTCGGAATTCCTCCGGCATGAACTCCGTGCCAGCGTCTCTGCCACGGCCCACCCACTGCTTCCTGCCTGGGCCCCCCCATCAGGGTGGGAGGCACAGCCAGCCCCGACCCCAGGCCCACTCAGCTCGCCTGGGTGGGTCAGGCCCCTCCCCCAACCTGGCCGGAAGGGGCTCTCTGGGGGGTCTTGCTGGGGGGCACTGCCCCTCTGCCACACCCGCCTGGCTTGGCCAGTCTGCCAGAGGCTGCAGCTGCTACCCGGGGGGTGTGGAGGGGGCAAAGCCAGGCAGGCTGGACAGGCCAGTCCTCAATCCCTCTCTGCCTAGCAGGAAGGCCTGGGGACGTTTTCTCTGGGGACACGGGTGGGACCTTGGTAAGCACCTGGCTTTCCAGCCTGAGCTCTGAGTTTTCTTGTCCCCAGAAAGGAAGGAAGAGCACAGGATACCTGCTAGAAGTCGGCAGGATGTGCGCTGCAGACAGGCCCCGCAGCCTCCAGCACGTGGGGACCCCCAGGACCACTGTCCTGCCCAGCTTGGGTCCCTTCTGGCTTCCTACTCCTAGCAGGTCCTGGAGAACAATGGACCAGATGCTGGGGACTGGGACACAGATCCCAAGCCAGGCAGGGGACAGGCATCGGGGGACAAGCCACAGAACCAACCGGGAGGGGGTTTGGCCTGGTCTGGAGGGGCTCCTAGAAGAACCCCAGAGCAAATCCCTCAGCTGGGCTCTGCACCCCACTGCGGCCTGCTGCCCCTCCTTCCCCCCCAGAGCTGGGCCTTTACAAGTTTTTTTTTTCTTTTCCCTTTCCCAATCTGGAGCCGCTGCTGTTATTAAAAAGGAACACCATGTGTTTTAAAAGGGAAAAGTGTGAGATTCTCTGCGAGCTGAGCGAGAGGGTGGCCTCCATCCCAGGGTCCCCACAAGGGCCCCCACCTCGCGTCCCGCAGGTACCTGCAGACACTTTACGACCCACCGGCTTGCGGTCAGGTGCTAAGACGCACCGTAAGTAGAAACATATTGCTGAGGTGTGAGAACCTTTTATTTAATTTCTTCTCCCTTAAAGGAAAAAACACATGCACACCACCACCCTGCCCCCCACTTTCGCCTGTTGCTTTGGGGCTAGGAAACAAAGCTCCTCACCACCCACCTCCTGGCAGAGCCATCAGGGACCCCAGGAGGCCTTGGGCAGTCTCACCTGAGCCAGCACCTTGGGCAGGCAAGCTTGTGCCCCAGGGCGCCCTGGCCCTGCCCTTTCCGGAATAACACCCAGTGTGTCCTGCCTGGACAGGACATCCTCTGCCACTAAGCCAGCCTGCGTGCCCCTCTGTGAGCTCCTCGCGGAGTGAGCGTAGGACCACGGCTGTGTGTCGGCTGGAATGTGCGCGCGCCTGCGATGGTGTGCGAACGTGCATCTGGGACGCAGTGTGAGCGTCTGAGGGCGAGGGTGACGGGACACAAGCCAGTGAGACTCTTTGTGTGTGTCTGGGTGTGTCCCAGAGTGTGTCTGGAGACCGTATCCTTGTGTGGGTGTGCACGGGGTGGGGGACCCGAGTGCCGGAGGACAGGAGTGCCCCGCAGGAAGGGGCCCTGGGCCTGCGGGGTCCCAAGAGGCCTCCCCCAAAGCCTGGACCCGCGGACTCCCGAGCTCGGACTCCCTCTCCCTCTCGCTTCCACCGGCCCGCTCACAAAGATCCCTCTCGCTGGAGGCTCGCAGCCCGTGCAGCCTGGATGTGGACGGCTCCGAGCGCCACCGGTGGCGGGCACTTCGCGGATCCCCGTGCGCGGGGTCCGGCGTAGGGAGGGCGTGCTTTAACACTTCATTTGTTAGAGATTTAGCGTTCATATTATTAAATTAACATGAAATCTCTTTATAATATAAAATAATAGAGTTCTTTTTATTTTAGAGAACTTTTCTCTAATTCATGACAACGTTGTGGTATTAAAAGTCAGTTGGAAACAACCATATCTTAAAAAAATGGATCCCCAAAGTCCTTGAGCCTACCAAAGTAGTAATTAAATTCACCATCCTTGGGGGAAATTGTAGTTCCAAAGTCACAGGTTCTTTCTCTTGGCAGCCAGATTCTTTAGTCTTGATTTGCAAGTTAAA